ATATGATTTCCTCTTCAGATCCCTCTGGTTCCAGTATCAAGGCAAACTAGATACTCCTTATAAGCCAAGGAAATTTCTAGCTACTAGACCATTAGTCCCGTTGCTCAGCCTGCATGGCAGAATATTAACTAGACCATGAGTCCTGTCGCTCAGCCTTCATGGCGGGGTACTAGATTATGAGTCCCATTGCTCAGCCTTCATGGCGGGGTACTAGATTATGAGTCCCATTGCTCAGCCTTCATGGTAGGGTACTAGACCATGAGTCCCGTCGCTCAGCCTTCATGGCGGGGGTACTAGATTATGAGTTCCATTGCTCAGCCTTCATGGTGGGGTACTAGACCATGAGTCCCGTTGCTCAGCTTTCATGGCGGGGTACTAGATTATGAGTCCCATTGCTCAGCCTTCATAGTGGGATACTAGATTATGAGTCTCATTGCTCAGCCTTCATAGTGGGGTACTAGAGTCCCATTGCTCAGCCTTCATGGAGGGGTACTAGACCATGAGCCCCATCACTCAGCCTTCATGGCAAAGGCTCCATGAACAGAGATTTTAGACTCTCTTTAACCTCTGAGCTTCAGTGCTTCCCCTGAGGACTCGGAGCATTAAATTCTACGGCCAGCCTATGCTGGTCGTATTTTCAGACTGATGCTGTAGTAGAACAGATGGGCTCTGCCTGGATCACGTCCCACATCTTGATTTATGGACAGGGCTTTGCCAGATGGACTAGCATGACAGGTTCAGACAAGAAATCACCTTGCTAACAACCGCTAGAGAGTTGAGTTCAGTGTCTTGCCATTTGAACTCAGAAATGCATCAGTCCGCCTGCGGTGACTGGTTTAATGGTCTGTGGAGGCGCTCAGGGGCTGTCTGCCTTCCCCTTCACTGATGGTGGTCTGCTTTATTTAGCTAAGATGCAGGTGAACACACCTGACAGGTCTTGCTGCTTCTGGATACAGCTCTCAAGCTGACATGGGATATAATTCTAAATGCCAGGTCTGGCTTTTGTGGCCTTGGTATTCGAGTCACAGGGTGTGGGGTTCTTGGGAGACACAGTGATCAGCAGTTGGTAAGCCTTTGCAGTGGTGAAGAAAACCAGGTCGTTTTGAGCTGGTTGGACACAAGATAAGCTTTGTCATCTCTGCTTCAGAATCATGATAGGTTTCTTGTTGCCTCTAATGGAGCTACCAACTCCTCCTGTTCTGAAAATCCCCATGGGTCTGGGAGCTTCAGAATAATGATAATCACTTTTGATTCTTTTCTTGGCTTCAAAAGCCCCCAAATATTTCGTGGCCTCTGTCTTGGCAAGCCTTGCTTTAGATACAAAGGATGAAGCCCCATAAAGATAGATAAAGGGACCCCCATTAGCAGTGTGGCCCCAGGGCAGAGCTGATTGCTGCCCTTAAGAGCATCTGGCATCCATCTGCCCTTATGTTAGCCCCGGCTGTGGACATTTGGCCATTTCACCTCTTGGGCTGGCCCATAAACCCTAGAATTGTTTGAGATTTTATAGACCTCACATAGAGCTGTGGACATTTTAAGATCCATAGGGCATCTTCCTGTAGAGGAGGCTGTGGAAGACTGAGTAGTAAATATTGAACAGGCCCACTAGGCACATCTGTGAAATGGATGCTTTGCAAGCGTGACTGATGGGTCTTGGGTGACTCCTGGGTACCAACGTCCTTATTTTAGTTCTTCCATTATTATATTGTGCAATCAGTTTCCTTCAGGCCAAGGAAACCACACAAGTTGAACTTGGATGGAGAGGACAGTGGAAGGAGAGGGAAGGTGGTTTTGAACTTGGTCTACTCAGAATAATGGTAAGGAGACCTGAGAGAGGAAGGAAGAGTGGGTTTCTTTAAGCTGTGAGGGTCTGGAGCTGCCTCGACCAGAAGGCTGGCTGCAGGACTCTCTGTGCCTGGGAATGGTGAATTCATTTAAGCACAGGTTTGGTCAGACATTAGCATGGTACTTGGCAGGAGCATAAATATGCTCTGTCCTCTCTGTGTCTATCCTTCCCAGAATGAGATTAGGGGTTTTCAGCATGCTTAAGGCAGTGGTGAGGTCTGATTCTTGTCCTGCAAATTCCTAATCAAAACTGCCTAGCACAGAGCCGAGGATATAGCATCTTCGTTAGCGTGCTTACCCTGGATGCACACGCAGTCTGGGTGTGGTGGTGCATACCTCCATTTCCAGAACTCAGGAGGTAGAAGAAAGGTGATCAGAAGTTCATGGTCATCCTTGGCTACATAGAAAGCTTGAGACCAGGCTGGCATACATGAGATTCTGTCTCAAGAAACAGAACAAGTGTGTCTAGTAGGCAAACAATGAATAAATACAAAATGGACAACCAGCCCCTCCAATTAATAATCTCATTAAAATAAAGGACTGTTCAGAAAAGCAAAAGAAAACGGCATTCATATTATTGTCATCCCTCCCCACCCCACCCCCAAATCCCCAACAAATCTTTCTGGACAGATCTTGAGAGAAAATAATAATTCTCTATAAACAGGATCCTACCTGATTTAGTTTTCTACCTTAACATTGTGCTGTGGCTCTCTTGTCACATCAGTAAATATCAGCCTACATCCTTTTAAAATAGTATTGCATTATACAGATGAGCCATTTTTGAATCCGTCTTTGTTGATGGACATTTAGGTCATTGCCAATTCAAAGCTATTAACAATGAGATGTAGCATCCCAGCCATGTGCCTTTGAGATAGGCATCCTGCTGTGGTGATCCGGTTTCATTACCCAGCCTAGGCAGTGTGGAGATGACAAAGGCCGACACCCTCCTCTCCTTAGCACTGCCCGCGCGCTAATTGTATTCTAATTCATCTGTTATGTGCTTTTTTGTGTTTCCACCTCCCCCTCCTCCTACACAGTCCTCTCAGGCTTTGTGGTTAGGTGTGGAATACACTGTGCTCATTCAGCCCCGCCCTTTCTCATTAGTAACATGTGCATGGTGTAGATTGCTTCTGCAAGTCCCTGGCAGTCAGCAGAATTAGCCTCTGGTTCAGAACAGCTGGAGAGAAACCTACTTTGCCTGTTTCATTCCAGTTCTTTTTATAACAGTGAAGTTCCGGTCGGTGTGCATTGAGTTTACTTAACAGTGATGGTGAACATGTCTAATGCCCCCCCCCCTTTAAAAAACAATTTATACTTTGGGCTTGGGGAGTTGGCTAAGCAGTTAAGAGCACTGGCTGACATTCCAGAGGATTCAATACCCCGCACCCACATGGCAGCTCACAGCCATCTGTAACCTCAGTTCTGGGGGGCCAATGCCCGCGTCTAGCCTCATGGTGTACACATGGTGCGGACTTGTGTGCACCGTGCAAGCAGAATGCCCGTACATATAAAATAAAATTCGTTTGAAAGTCACACTTAATATTTCTCAGTCTAATAAGAACATGCTGAGTACCACACCTGGAACCTCTTACAGGAAACACAGAAGCCATCAGCCACATGGTCCCTCGCCATTAGGGTTTGATCTGAGAGACTCAGAGTACAGCCAAGCCAGCTCCTGACTCGTGATAGTTCACCTTTATGATGGTACGAGATTGATAAGCAGCCAGTGGAGACCAGACTTCAGGTTTTGATTTTTGACTTCTCCTGGGTTGTTGATTGGTAGTACTGTTCTGTCGTGAGATCCCAGGCACAACCAGGCAGTCATAGTTACTGCATAAATGAATAACATTCCATGGTCTGCTGTGTAGCCAAGCAGGATGCATGGACCAGAGGGATAAAATGCATTTTTAATTCACAATGTTCTCTCTTTAGGATGGGCTTATCTGGATGTTATACCTCGATGGGATTCTCGTATGTAGCTTTCTGGAGAAGTTAAGCTGCTGAGCATACGTCAGCAATCTTGACATAAATGTTTATATGAGAGAAGTGGCTTTGTAAACTCCTTAGGCAGATAACACTGAAGTGGGTTTTATGGTAAATGTGAGGAGCAGTTGAAATGCCCTCACTGGCCACGGTGGAGCCATCTGCCTCTCTTTCTCTCAGTGGTGGAGGCCAGGGGTGTAAAAGAGTAAAGGGTCCTGATCTCAGAGTTGAGGGAGTCAGAACCCAAGGCTGATGTCTAATCAGAGCTTAGCATGGGAGTTGGTACTCTCTGCTAGATTAGTGGAGACCAGAGTTACCAGACACGATCAGCAGCATGATGTATCATCAGTAGTGTCAGCCGCCCAGAATTTTTAGAAGGGACTTTACAGATCAAATTTTTAGGGGTTATAGAACTTCCTGAACTCTGTTTAAAAGCTTAGGGAAAGTTTGGCTGTAAGAAAAATGCACTTACATAGACAAGCAAATTACTCGTTTTTCTGTTTACATGTGTGGTTCCTGTGTGTGTGTGTGTGTGTGTGTGTGTGTGTGTGTGTGTGTGTGCATGTTTGCATGTGTGTGGGCACATATGGAGGGTTGATATTGCTTTACCACCTCATTCATTGAGGCAGGGTCTCCCAATCAAACCCAGAGCTCACTGATACTGCTAATCTCATCAGGTAGCTTACTCTGGGAAGCCTCTCTCTGCCTTCCTAAACTGGAATTACAGGCAACCACTACACACCTGCTTGGCTTTTACGTAGGTTCTGGGGATCCAAACTCCTACCCCTAGAGCAAGTACTTCAAATGTTTGTTTATTTTTATTTTATGTATATGGGTGTTTTGCTTGAGTATGTATGTCATGCACCATATAAGTACAGTGCTCACAGAGGTCAGAAGAGGGTGTTGAATCCCCTGGAATTGGATTTACAGATGGTTGTGAGCCACCATGTGGGTGCTAGGAAATGTAGCCAGTGTTCTTAACTACTGAGCCACCTCTCTGGGGTGAGCAAAGAATTTTTAATACCATATCTAGTGGTTTGCAGATCTCCAGTTAGGAATCCAAGGTCTGACTCAGTCTCAGGTCTTTGTGAGGGGAGTCACCCAGGTTTGTAGAGGAGGGGAGGTTGAGGGGCACATGCTTAGTTCCTAAAGAAACCTCTTCTTTCTTTCAGCACTGGCTGGATCATTCGAAACCCATAAAGAAACAGATGAAAGGTAAGGCATAGACCCCCATCTACTCATGTCTCTTTCTCTCGTTCTTTCTTTTCTTCTTTCTTTCTTTCTTTCTTTTTTTGAAACGTGTCAGTGAACTCTTTTGTCAAGATTTTTGAGATCTTTTGATTTGTAAATAGATCCGATGTTAAATGGATGATTTTTACTCCTTTAAACTGGCCAGAGAGTGGAGCTTTAAGACTGAATGAGTGTTTTGGGTAGATCTTGAACCCCCTCTGTGCTCCCATTTCACACCAGACACCCCTGCCAATGAAAACTGACTAATGTACTATTCAGAAACCTGACACCCACTTTATTCACTTCCAAGTAAGTTTCAAAGCAGATTCAGAATGGAGAGTAGGAAGCAGGAAGGCTCCAGCTCATTCCTCACAGGTGTAGTAACTATATTTTTCTAATGCTGCTTATGCTTAGATCATTTGGAAATTACATTCTCTTAAAAATACCTTAAGATATTTTTACTGTGTTTTGACTCGGCAGAACACTTTGCCTCCAGCCCACTTTGTACTTTGTAAAACATGGGTGCCAGTTTGGAGTAATCCCATCAGAGGATTACAAAATGCCAGCTCTTTTACCCACCCAGATCCTCAGGGGTTTCTGCCAGAGTGAAGTTCCCAGCTAAGCCATCCTGGTCAACCTAGAAGTTTGGTTCCATTTTTCAAGCTCCAGATGGAGCAGTGAGCCTGCTGTCTGTCTTTGTGATGTGTTTCCTTTTTTTTTTTTAGATTTATTTATTTATTATGTATACAGTGTTCTGTCTGCATGTCTGCCTGCAGGCCAGAAGAGGGCACTAGATTTCATTACAGATGGCTGTGAGCCACCATGTGGTTGCTGGGAATTGAACTCAGGACCTTTGGAAGAACAGCCAGTGTTCTTAACCTCTGAGCCATCTCTCCAGCCCCGATGTGTTTCCTTTTGTCTGATGGGAGACAAACAACTTTACCTTTCTGTCTCCAAATGTTTAGTTGGACCTGCCTATGCTTTGCACTTTCGAGTCAAATACTATTCTTCAGAACCAAACAACCTTCGAGAGGAATTTACAAGGTAGGCCATCACACAGGTGATTCTGTCCAGGAGATTTGCCTCAGCCAGATTTTGGGGGGAGGGGAGTCTTTTCAGTCGAAGACTGGATTCCTTTTTAGTTCTCTGTGTTTCTAAGCAAAAGTTCCTAGCACTTTCCCCAGGCTTCTCTATTTGATAATTTTCATAGGAATCTAATTAGATGGATTTTTCTTGGATCTTGGGAAAATGAAGGGTTCATCTATGGCATTTTGCCTTTGTCTCCATTACAAAAAAACAGGAGATATTGGGAGAAGGTTTCTTAGTCAAGAATAGCTTTTTTTTTTTTTTTTTTTTTTTTTTTTTTTTTTTTTTTGTGTTGCAAAACAATTCTGATTGTTCAAAATCTTCATACCACAGATTTTGTTAGGCCCCTCTTATAGCTCTCAGCCCCACCAGATGTTTTTATGTTGTAAGTGCCTTTGTTTATCCCTTGAATTTCCGAAGCAATATAGAAGAAAAAAAAGAATATAAATAGGAATTGGAGTTTGGAGCTTCCTTTCCGTTCGTGGAATGCTTTGTCGAGTTCTTGATATCACCAGAGTGTCCTTGTCACTGGCTTTGTGTGTGATGCAGTGTAGTAGTGACTTGTACATTGATGAACGGTCTACAACTTGGAGAGGACCACCTAAGTGGCATTTGAAAAGCTATCACTAGTGCCCATGACAAGGGCCTTAGGGGCTTCTTCCGTTGGGTTTCCCTATGAGAATCAGAACTTTTGGCCACATGGACACCATGTGCAAATAACACATGTCTGTGTCCTAAATGTCAGAAGTGGAAGTTCAGTTCTAGTTAAGGACCTATGTGGAAGCAGAAACCTTCTGGAATGAGGTAGAACCTTTAGCCTCCCTGCCCACTTTGACTGCTGGGTCATCCAAAGTATATGGCCTTTCTACAGGAAAGGACTGCCCACTTGGCTCCCAAGGGTCAACTCATGAAGGAACTTCAGTGTTTCTCTTTGGAGGTCCTTGTGAAATGTGTTGTCCCTCGCTGTCATGAAAGCTAGTCGTTTTTAACCCAGGTGTGTGAATCAAAAACTCTAGGAAGTTTTTGGATAAATGAGGTTCCTGGGGACCACTCTGGAGTGTAGGATTCTGACTCCATAGGCCTGGAGTAGAGTGTGGGAGGCTTTGGTTGGTACAGAGTGATTCTGGTGCCCACATCTTCCTGGAAAGGAAAGGCTTTTTACTTTAGACTAAGACATTTATTTTTTAGCGTGGTAAGCCCTGCTTAGGTTTTTTTTTTTTTTTTGCTACTTTCCTTCTTGTTTCTTATTATCCCTGTAATTATCTGTGGTGTAATTCTAGGATTTTTTGTGTGTGTGTGTGTGTGTGTGTGTGTGTGTGTGTGTGTGTGTGTGTATGTGTGTTTTGCATGGTTTGCATGTGTGTTTGGTTGGTTTGTTTTAAAGACAGTAGGCAGTTTAACTGCCCCAGGAAGAAAAGCCTCAAGTGGTTTCCAGCAGACGCTACAGTCAGCTGCAGACTCTTTGAGAGAGTACTGGAATCTGCTAGGTGTAGCTGGCCAAGTGCCGGCTCAGTGGTTCCATCCTGGCCATTTTCTTGGGTGCACTGCTTGCCTGTGTGTGAGTTCCGTGTGCCTGTTGGGCTAGTTTCTCCTGCACCAAAGCCATCCTGCAAGTCACATCAGACCGCTTGGTATTGCATTCATGCTCCATCCTACAAGTGTCTTGCAAAATCCCCATATACATTTTCCTGCCCAGTGAGACCTTGGTTGCTTTTCCACAGGCTCAGAAGGAGGCTCCCACCTCCTCATTTGTTGGGACTCCCTTTTGACAGTGCAGAACGCCAGGGCATGTGCAGGGGGATTTGCGATGGGAGGCTGGGGATTGGAGGCGGCTGGGAAAGGCAAGGGTTCCCCTCTGTTGACTTTTGTATATGTTTGTCAGGTACCTGTTTGTTTTACAACTCAGGCATGACATTCTTTCTGGAAAGTAAGTATGTTTTTGTTCTCTTAACCCAGCATAGAGCATAGTATGCCTCAGTAACTCACTGTTTCAACTCTTTTACGCTTTGTCCTCTTTACCAAATTCAAAAAGAGTGCACCAGGTCTTGTCATGTGAGTCAGATACTTGCACTGCTGTCATTTTTGTCCTGGTGTAAAATGACTTCTATATGGCTTGGAGCATTTCCAAGAGCATTGACTTTCTTGAATGATATGTATTTGGGAACCACTTTCTTGCTGTCACATCACTGCCCCATTCATACTGGCTTCTTTTGTATTTGCAAGCAGCACACATTGTTAACATGTATACATGTACAAGCATTTGTGCAGTTTAAAAAGTCTCACCCTTTTACTGAAGCAGTGTCAAGAGGTCCTTATCTGACTGCTAAGAAGAGTGGTAGATCCCTCCTCTCACTTCCTGTCCCATCTTAACAGTGTTATTTAAACTCAAGGTATTGGGCTTATAGTGATCATTAACAAACATCATGTTATCACAAAACAGCATTGTGTGGTTGGTTTTGAGGGAGTGTTAATAGAGAAAGAAGGCTGACAAACTGACTTGGCAGGTGAAGACTCTTGCCCCCAAGCCAAATGACCTGAGTTCGATCCCCAGGACCTGAAAGTTGTCCTCTGACCTCCATACACATGCTGTGTGGCATGTACAGTCCCCCCTAACATCTGATCAAGTGTACACACAAACACACACACACACACACACACACACACACACAATCATCTATATATGAATAAATAAATATAAATATAAAATTAGTTTTCATCATTTTCCATTAAGAGTTATTGAATATTTTCTGTTACATTAAAAAAAAAAAAAACCCGAGGTTGTGTTAAGACTAAGAAGCAGTACCTGATGTTACCAATAGGAATATGTTCTGATTTTGAATGTAATCTGAAGGAAGTTTAATGGGTGATTTCTGCCATTTGTGGTGGTCCACACATCTAATCACAGAGCTGGGGAGACAGAGGCAGGTGGGTCTCAGTGAGTTTGAGGCCAGCTTGGTCTACCTAGTGAGTTCCAGGACAGGCCAGAGCTACATAGTAAGACCCTATTTCAAACAACAAAACCAAGTATAAATCAATTCTATAAATAAAAATGTAAATGTAATATATAGATAAAATGTAATTTCCGTGTTTGCAAATTCTTGATAGAAAATGCCCTCTAAAAATTTCAGTGTCAGGTAGGCCATAGGAGGAGTAGACTGTACAGTGTATACATTGGTCTTACTCAGCCATGCAGTACAGGACTTGACTGGTGTGTGTGCTGAGCATGTGTGTATTTTTATCACTGTCGATTCTGTGCTCCTCATACTAAAGGCCCTGTAACTGTAGCATTTGTCTCCAGTTTGGCAAACGTTGATGACAGTACTTCATATATGTTTGGTGCTGTGCATTTTGTCTCCACTCCCACCCAACTTACCTCCTAACAAAAACAGTGCTCTAAGGCCAGCGTTGCCTCCTGTCAGCTGGAAGACCTGGGCCGAGATGCTGAAGACTTGCTTTCTCATCTGGAAAATGAGAAGTCGGGTGGGGGGCACTGGCTACACCCATCCTTAGAGTTTACAGACTACACATTGACTCAACATGTAATACGTGAGGAGACCTTAAGAACTATGAAGTTCTGTGCCAATGTCCATCATTACTATTTTCCCAACTCACTTTGGAATTTGAATTATGAGTGAAATCACTATATTTGCAAGAGTGCTTTCCTGTGGTCCTGCCTCAGTTGGACCTGTTAGAATGCTGAGCGTATCTAATGGTCCTGGAAGTAGTATATATGGTGTTGGTGTGTTTATTATAACTGTCCTGACTGTTTCAAGGAAGATTGAAGGCAGCTTGTATAGTCTAATGGACTGTATCAAGAGAAAATAAGTTTAGGATAACTAAACATTCTGAGCTCTTTTCAAATTCAGTACAAGTGTCTGCATGGTTGGTAGAATGTATACTTGGATAGTTTTGTCATATGTGGAGAACTGCCCTGGGAAATTTGTAGTGTATGTTAGTTTGTGTTCTTTAACATAGACACCAAAAATAAAAACCACTAGCATCAGAAGCCTTATGTAGACACGGCTGCCTTTTAAATGATGGTTTTTTTTTTTTCTGATGTTTGTTACATGGTTCCAAATGTAGAGCTTCCTATTAGTGTTAATTTCTTTCTTTTTTTCTTTCTTTTCCCAAGACTGAAGTGCCCCTATGAAACGGCTGTGGAGCTAGCTGCTCTCTGTCTGCAAGGTACATTCCTCTTTAAAATCTTAAAGTTACTGCTTTCGTTTCAGTAAGAGAGACTCCCTGTATACCAGGCCCAGGGTCCTGCTTTCTCCCAGGATGTAAAGCAATATGATGTGACCTCAGTCCCCAGGAGCTTGCGGTCTGGTGGGGAAAATGCACAGAGCATATGGCCATTTTCTAGCAACAGAGACACAGAGGAGGCTTGGGAGAGGGGGGTATTGGGGGACCGTGGCGAGAAAGGTGACTGGAAGAACCAAGGATTCTGAAAGTGTGAGGAGGAGGGGAGATGCAGCTCTTGCTTGGTGTGCACACAGCCCTGGGCTCCATCCGTAGTTCTTCAAGTGTGGGGTGGGGGTTTGTGTAATGAGGGGCTGATACAGACATAAGTCGGTTGAGTAGTGTGCACCACATAAAACCAAATGCGATAGTGCACACCAATCATCGCAGCACTTAAGAGGTGGTGGTAGGAGAATCAGAAGTTCAAGGTCATCCTTAACTAGATACAAGTTTGAGGCCAGCCGGGGCTACATGAGGCCCTGTCTCAGGAAAAAAAAAAAAAAAAAAAAAAAAGCAAACAAACAACAATAAAGTCACAGAGATAATAATGGCAGTGTGAAATTCAAGAAACTGGATTGCCTTTAGCCCCACTTAAAGAATATGAACTTGGTGGGGTCAGCAGCAGTTCTTTGCATTAAGGAGGCAGGCCTGGGTGGTAGGGATTTGGGAAAGAAGGGATTGGAGTGGGGCTGATCATGGGCCGGCAAAGAGTGAGGGGCTGTTACATTAACAGAGATAGTAAGGAGCTGAGCAGGGCAGGTGGGTGTGCACACAGTGAGTGCAGCCGTGGTGGTGCTGGAGCAGGATTCCCTGATGAGCCCTAATGTGAGAAGGGAGTTGGGCATGACTCAGGCTGCTGCTGGGGGTAGGTGGTGGCATCGCTGAGTGAGCAGAGGAGAAGGAGGTTCCCGGGGAGTGAGTGGCCCGTGTGGACCTCGGCCAAGAGGTGCTGAAGTCACCAGCTTGCACGTGGGAACTGGGTGGCAGGAGTCCTGCCTGTAAGACCATCCGTCCGCATTGACTGTTTATCTGTGGGAGGTGCTGGTGGATCTTCATTTTAAATGCATGAGAAACACTTGCTTAATTCTCCAGCACTAATTAAGAGAATGGGGTTTCATTAGCATGTGCTTAGCAGAGTGCATTCGCTGGGTTATGATGTGTGACATACCCACTCATAGTATCTGTGAACACCCTAAGATTTTGCTTTGGCAATTTTTTTATATTTATTTATTTGTGTGTGTGTGTGTGTGTGTGTGTGTGTGTGTGTGTGTGTGTGTGTGTGTGACAGTGTAAGTGTGGTGGGTTGTTGGACAGCTTTGGAGAGTGGTTCTTTCCTTTCATGTGTGGGTTCTGGACATTCAGCTCAGCATGTCAGGCTTAGTAGCCAGGGTCTAGGTCTGCTGAGCCATCTCACCAGCTTATATTTTACTAATTTAAGAAAAGCTGATCTGAGAAGTGTCACAAGGTCGATCACATGATTACAGACTCTGGGTAGGACAGCACAGCTGTCAGGCAGGTCAAAGAAAGCACGTGACGTCCCATCTGCCACCCACCAGCACCTACATCCTCTGTTAATGAGTTTAGATTGATATTTTGTTGTTGTTGTTGTTGTTTTGTTTTGTTTTTCGAGACAGGGATTCTATGTGTAGTCCAAGTTGTCCTGGAACTCACTTTGTAGACCAGGCTGGCCTCAAACTCACAGAGATCGACCTGCCTCTGCCTCCCGAGTGCTGGGATTAAAGGCTTGTGCCACCACCGCCTGGCTTAGATTCTTTTTTTTTTTTTTTTAAAGAAATGTGGTTCAGATTATCAGAAATCTTTGTGTGTAGTTTCCTAGTATTTTTGTTACATTTTAATTTAGTGTGTATGTGTGCACGCACAAGTACAAGTGTGCATGCTCTCGAAGAGATCAGAGAACAACTTGCAGAAGTTGGTTCTCTTCTTCCATCGTGTGGGTCATGGGGCTCGAACTCAGGTCATCAGTTATCTGCTGAGGCATCCCACTGGCCCTATTTGCTGTTTTTAGTCATTGTATGTTGTCACATTGATACCTGTTAAGATGTTTTGTTGATAGTGGGTGTAGTCCCGTTCCTGGATACTTCCAGTCCTTCGTCACCTCCTCACGGATGCTCAGTTAGTGCAGAAGGAGGAGAGGAGTGAGCTTGGAGCCAACTGTGACATCCAGGGCTGCATGCTTCCCCTCCCTGTGTAGTCTGATGCAGCAGGTCTCCTGTTGAGTGCCATGGTGTAGGCAGAATTGGAGACATGGCAGAGGCTCCTGGCTTCTTGTGTTGGCCAGATGCAGATTTTACCAGCGTAGACAGTAGCCTTCATCTGCACTGGTTCCTGAGCTTTTCAAGAGGCCTCGTCAGGCTTGGCAGCCCTGAAGGATCTGTCAGGGTCGTGTTAATGAAAGGAAAGCACCCAAGCACCCGTGTCAGGCCTGGGGCCATTAATCACTGCAGAAGCTTCCTCCTGAGGCCATTGGCATAGTGTTTCAAGCCTGTCCTGTTGTCCTGAGTGATTAGAGGAGGAGGCATGCCTCTGCCCTCGATGGTCCCGCTGTAGAGAGACTGAAAGCAGCCTGGAGAAGAGTACAACCACCCATAGCTGTAGGAAGATTTAAGGCGCAATCCTTATGTCAGGTACAGATAAATCCTGGGAAGACTGAGGGGACACACGGGGAAAGCCTCATCACATTGTCATTCCGTTCCCATGGTCTCACCTGCTTTCCTCTGAAGCCCAGTCTGGAGCCCTGCACTGTGATAACTGGCCTTGCTGTCGGTGTGAATAAAGTGAAGGCAAAGGCATATCTTACTGTTGCTTTTGAATTAATAGTGCCCCCTGAGTTGAGCGACTGTGGCCTTCCACGGAGGATGTGCTCTTTGGGGAATACATTTGTGGTACATTTGAAAATCAATCCAAGTGAAAGGGTAAAAGGGATTTGAGATCGTCTGTGGCATGGTATGTTCCAGTTTGGTCCATGTAATAACTCCCCTGTCTCAGGTAGAGATCACAGGCCTGGAGCAACTCAGTGATTCGCCCAGGGACCCACAGATAGCTACGGCAGGGTGGGAGCTTAGTCAGTCTTACAGCTGAGCCATTTCCCTTCCACAGTCTCCACGGAGCCAGAGCCTGGCTGCAGAACTGGGAGATTCTTGGAGTGCCAAGTTCTTTCAGCATGTTCTTGGAAGACACTGGTGTCCCAGGTGCTGCTCAGGCCTGCTTTAGGCCGGCAAAGGCTGGAAGGGACACTGGCCTCTTCCTCACTGGTGTCTTTGGCATTCTTAATCTTGACAGTTTAGGCCACCACTGAACACAGGGTCCTATTGAGTCATATTTGCCCGCGGGTACATGAAATACCATAGGAATCTCCTTTCAGACTGTACAAAGCTTAGTTAGCGCTTACCAGGTGTTCACTCCACAGTGACCTCTAGGACTGAGGTCAGTGGTGGTCTCTGGCTTGGGGAATCCAATCCCACTCCCTTTCTGGCTATAGATTGTTTCTAGAACAGAATTTCATGTGTGTGCCCCTGCCCAGGGTCAAAGGCTGCTGCATGCCCTGACCCAGACCCTTCTACATCTTGGTCTAAGGGATGTGAAGGATGGCATTCAAGTGGAAAGGTATTTACCAGGTCACTTCTCTCTGTCAGACATTGTCTTGTAAAGGCAGAGTCTCCTTGAATTTGGTGTTATTGCTTCCTCTGCATGAACAAGAACTGTGTGGTTTAGTGTTTTGAGACTGGGTCTCACTTTGTCTAGCCCAGACCTTGACCACGAGAACCTCCTACCATAGCTTATCTCATTGACATACCACACTTGGCCACAAGGATGCGTATTCACTCTGCACATCAAATGAAGTCCCTCTCCTGAAAGTTGGGCCGTGAGATTTGGGTCCTCAGAAGCCACATGCTGGCCATGCGTGGCCTAATGGGGTGGTAAGGTGGTCGTATATAGTGAGCTGCTGCTGTCCCTGCAGGTTCCTGAGCGTGTGTGGCTCCATCCACTGGTAGATTCGATGTCTGAGACAGCAGGTTCCAGGCTTTCTCCCATTAGCAGGCTAGCTATGTCAGCATCACATGGGAATTTGTTAGAATACAAATCGGATGAAGTAGGAATGTAGCCCAGTGGGTAGAGTACTTGCCCAGCATGTCTGAAGTCCTGAGTTTCACCCCCCCCCACACACACACATACAATCATCCATAGTGGTGTGCTTGAGGTGAAGGTAGGAGGATCAGAAGTTGAAGGTAACCCACAGTTACGTTCAGTTCTGGGCCTGGCTCCACATCAAGATCAGCAAATCTGGGTGTGGGGCCCAGTGATGTTGTTTTCATGAGCCCACCAAATGACGTTTTTGCACTCTTAAGTTAAAAAACAACTGTTGGGGATCCCTGCCTTTCCAAGGAAAGTGCCCCAATCCCCAAGGGTCTTGTGAAATGGCAGGCAGTGACAACTGGGCTGTTCCTGGATGGGCATGCAAGCCTGCATGGTGATCCAGCCCCTAGGTGGCATCTCCACGTGCTAACCTGAAGCCCACACTTACTGTAACCAGGTTGTAGAGGAAACTGGGGGATTCCTTCTTATTCTGAAGTCTGGAGGGGTCAAGTGGATTTTCTCGTTCATGTTTCAGAGGGATAGGGCCACCGTGCCCTTGGGCCCTCTTGTTTTGCGGCTTGGCAAGAGCGAGAACCACGCAGTGTGCGTTGGGCTCTTCGCCGGGAAGGTTCCTGTTGCTACCCATCCCTCTTTTGTGCAGCTGGCTCCCTTCTCCCCTCCTCTGTTCTGCCTGACTCGCCGCAGTTGCTCCCGCAGCCTGCTCACCACCCCTCCCTGCTTCTTTATCCCTCACTCAGATTCTGCATGCACCAAATTCATGATCCATCCTTCCCAGCTCTGCACACGCTAAATCGTTGCTCTGACCCATGCTTAACGAGAGCCCTGTGCAGAAGAGGCTCTCGGGCAGATCCTCCTTGCCTGCAAACACCTTTTATTGCAAGTTTCCACTTCCCGGGGAAATGTGAGCCAGGCCTCCTTACTGGGAGAAGCAGTGAGGAGAAAGCCAGTAATGACTGAGGTGATGGTGTACTTTCCTTGGAGGGTGTTAGAATGACTCCCAGGGATGCTGAGGGAAGCTGATAACAAGAGGGCTCTACCTCAGGGGCACCCGTACTTTCTGATCAGAAAGAATGCCTGTGGGTTCAGTCGCAGCCATAACCCAAAGTGCTCAGTGTCTTCTGTTTTCCTCCCTTTTATAAACTGCGCAGCGGAGCTGGGGGAGTGCGAGCTCCCGGAACACACACCGGAGCTTGTGTCTGAGTTTCGGTTCATCCCAAATCAGACAGAAGCCATGGAGTTCGATATCTTCCAGAGATGGAAAGAGTACAGGTACCTCAATGCACCTCTTTCGTGGTCTGAACTGCTTGTTTACTTGTCCTATGTGCTCGTCAGACCCTTCTGAAAAACTGTTGCATGACCTTGTGCAGCACAGCATGCCCTTTGCCTCACAGAGAGGTGCTCAGTTCATGACCGGGTTGTAGCCTCTCCCCTGAGCTTCACACCTGTTTCCAAAAGGCCCACATGTCACCTCTCTTCTGAGAAATGTGCAAAGGTCAAGCTATGCTATTTTCTGTCACTGACACACATAGCTTCTGTCTGATTTGATTGTTTCTTATCAGTGACACCCCAGGTGTGGATAAAACACTGTACTTACAAGGTCCTGTCCATCCTGAGCAGTAGTTCTCAACCTTCCTAATGTTATGACCCTTATACAGTTCCTCATGTTATGTGATCCCTAACCATAAAATTATTTCGTTGCTACATCATAACTGTCATTTTGCTATTGTTATGAATGGTAATGTAAATATCTGATATGCAGGGTATCTGCTATGTGACCCCCAAAGGGGTCTCGACCCACAGATTGAGAACCACTGTTCTAGAGCAAACTTTTTAAAAAATACAGGTGGAGCATCCCTAACTCTCAAATGCTGAATCTAAAATGTTTGAGCATTCACCTGGTGATACATTTGAAAAATGCACACCAGGCCTTATGGGGCAGGCTGAAGTCTGATCATAGGGACAGTTTTTAAATGCGTATGACATCAGCTCCAGGACATTTATGGATCAGATGAATGTGACATAAGTGACTTATCCTTCAGAGCATCTCACTGTCTTCACGCTAGTATTTGAAAATCTGGAAAAGGAGGAAAAAAAAAAAAAAAAGAGACCACAGATACTTTTGGTCTCACACATTCTGGGTCAGGAGGACTTAGCCAGTCACCCTACGGTGAAATGGTAAGACCATGTGACATGCAGTATTCTTATATGTCCAAAAGTGTGGTGTTTACGTCTTCCCTAATCTAACACACTTGTTTTTGTTTTGCCTGGACTAGTAAGGCAGTTTGCCAGTGATGTACACACACACACACACAGACACACACACACACACACACACACACACGTGCGCGCGCACACACATGTTTGCGCGTGAGCAAACACACATCACAAAGCACCTGTTCCTAGTTACTCTTGGACCTGACTTAGTGTGACCTTCTATTGTCCCTCAGTCCTCCGATGACTTTTAAAATAAAAGATGATATGAATGTCATTATCAAATGATAGGGAAGTTTGCAGATGTGTAGGGAACGTGTCCCACCTACTCTCACACGCAGCCTCCTTTCTCCCAGAGGAAGGCCAGGAGGAACAATCTTTCCCTTTGCCTTAGAGCACACTCTTGTTTTCTTTTTCTTTTTTTTTGTTTTTTTTTTTTTTTGAGATAGGGTTTCTCTGTGTAGCCCAGGCTGGCCTGGGACCCACTCTATAGCCCAGGCTGTTCTGGAACTCACAGAGATCTGCCTGCCTCTGCCTCCCGAGTGCTGGAATTAAAGGTGTGCCACTGCCCAGTATACACTCTGGTTTTCCTAGGAAAACACCATCCTGTGGTCTTCCTGTTCAGCTGCCATGGGGTTCTTAGAGGTCGTTTCTGTCCTTACAAACTCGCGTTCTCCGTTGCTGTAACTGTTGCATGACCTTCTGCAGCTCAGTGGTCTCCTCAGACCCCGTGGGTGTGTGGGGGCCCAGTTTACACGTGTCTCCATTGGTTTGTTTTCTAAGGGGAAAGAGCCCTGCCCAGGCAGAACTCTCCTATCTCAACAAAGCAAAGTGGCTGGAAATGTATGGGGTGGACATGCACGTCGTCAGGGTAAGAGCTCTGTGTGTTTTCGTCATTTTATCTGGCTGTTTCTGAGAAATGCATAGTGTGCCAACCAAGTAAATGGTGGCGAGGAAACTGTGTTTGCATTCTTCTCTGTGACGACCTGTTAGAACCCTCTACCGACTGTCACTTCGTTTGTTTGTAGGGAAGAGATGGCTGTGAATATTCTCTTGGACTGACCCCGACAGGCATATTAATCTTTGAAGGAGCTAACAAAATAGGCTTATTCTTTTGGTAATTTTAGTTTTGTCTAATATTAAAAATGTCTTTTCCTATTTTGTGTTGGAAAGTCTATATGTGATGGATGATTCTGAGGGGTATTTGCAACACCCAGATTCGCTTTAAAAAAAAAAAAGAAATCACACCATCCCAGTGTCATTGTGCGTGTGTGGCCGATGCACTGAACCTCTCGATAATCATGTTTAAATGAATGAATGATGATTTCCTTCTCTTAGCCAATCTAAACTGTCATAAGTAGAAAGGAGACTGTTGGATGTGTAGACGACAGTTTGACTGTCGACTGCCCTTTTTAAAACGCTTTCTCTCTGACCAGGCCTAAGATTACCAAAATGGACTTTAAAAAGAGCAAACTGACCCTCGTAGTCGTGGAGGATGACGACCAGGTAGGCTGTGCTCCCCCGTGTCCTCCCTGTGGCCACTCCCCCACGTCCCTGCGACACGGGCCCCCACGAGGACCTGTGCTTCCTCCCCCAGGGGCGCGAGCAGGAGCACACGTTCGTGTTCAGGCTGGACAGCGCACGCACCTGCAAGCACTTGTGGAAGTGCGCCGTGGAGCACCACGCCTTCTTCCGCCTGCGCACGCCGAGCAACAGCAAGTCCACCAGATCGGACTTCATCCGGCTGGGTTCCCGCTTCCGGTTCAGGTTGGCAGTTGCTTTAGGATGTGGGCCAGGTGTTTCAGAGAGTGACAGCTCCTCTTTCCTGTGTGTGAACGTAGCAGCGGATTTGTGTGTGTCCGTCCGTCCGTCCGTGTGGGTTGTTTGCCCCACCCCCACTTCCTTGTCAAGGCCTGCCCTTTAGGTCCAGTCACAGCCTCTTTTGGCTTCCGTCACTTTACTGATCACATGGAACTGATGTGGGGTGAAATCCTTGGTGTCAGGAACGTTTTGACGTTGACATTTTTCTCAGCTTGGAACTGTTTGCCAGTATTTGAGCTTAGGGCCCTGAACGTTTTGGATTGGGGCGGGGCGGGGGTGAAGTGTGCTCAACATGTAATAACAAAATTTCCGGGCCTGTACCTATAGCTAGAGTCGTGCTGTCCGGTGCAGTGGCCACTAGCTACGTGGCAGCTACTGGAGTTGAAAACTGTAGTGCGTTGATCTCACCCAGCCTCATCTCCGGTGTGCAGTGGCCACATGAGGTGGTGGCTGCCTGTGAGTAGGGCAGACGCAGCACATAGAGTCATTGGAGGAGGTTCTGTTGGATTCTGCCTCACTAGAACTCCTCACGACTCACTCTTAACCCTAGAGGCAGCCTTAGCAAGGCCGATCAAGTGTCCCTGTTTTCCGGACTACACTGGGCTCAAACTCTCTGCCTGCCAAATGGATTAGAAGTGTGCCCCGCACACCTGGCCTTGGTGCTTCTATTTGTGTGCATGCGTATGTGCGGTGTGGTTTGCACGTCCTTCACGTGCAAGTTTTCATAGAGACCTGAGAGTGGCCTAAGTGTCTTCCTCCACTGCTCTCCATCGCATTTCCTGAGACAGGGTCTCTTACTGAATCGTAGCTCACTGAGAGCTAGGCTGCTGCTGACCTCCAAAGATCTACTTATTTCCACCTTCCCAGTGATAGGATTACAGATTGCAAAACTGCACCCTGCTGTTCAGACGGGTGCTGGGGATCTGGACTCGGATCTTCATGCATGTGTCAGTACTTCACCGACATCATCTTCCCAGCCCTGGTTCTGAAATTTCTCACTCAGTTCTTCACTGCCTAAACATCTTCCCAGCCCTCGTTCTTTCTTTCTTTCTTTGTTTCTTTCTTTGTTTCTTTCTTTGTTTCTTTCTTTCTTTCTTTCTTTGTTTCTTTCTTTGTTTCTTTCTTTGTTTCTTTCTTTGTTTCTTTGTTTCTTTGTTTCTTTGTTTCTTTCTTTCTTTCTTTCTTTCTTTCTTTCTTTCTTTCTTTCTTTCTTTCTTTCTTTCTTTCTTTCTTTCTTTCTTTCTTTCTTTCTTTCTTTCTTTCTTTCTTTCTTTCTTTCTTTCTTTCTTTCTTTCTTTCTTTCTTTCTTTCTTTTGTTTTATTTCTCGAGACAGGGTTTCTCTGTGTAGTTCTGGTGCCTGTCCTAGATCTCACTCTGTAGACCAGGCTGGCATCGAACTCACAGAGATCTGCCTGGCTCTGCCTCCTGAGTGCTGGGATTAAAGGCGTGTGCCACCACCACCACCCGGCCCAGCCCTGGTTCTTAAATTTCTCACCATTGCTAAGAGATTTGGTAATGATTAAGGATGGGAGCAGTGTGTGTGTGTGTGTGTGTGTGTGTGTGTGTGTGTGTGTGTGTGTGTGTGTATTTGAATCTGAAAAGAGCCTGAATAAATAGCTTATTCTCACGTATTTTCACTTTTGAGTTTAAGACTAGCTCATGTGAACTCCTGGGGCATCTTTAAAAATGAAGATACACGGCCTCTTAACCAGAGTCTGTGAATATGTGCATGTGGGTGTCAGCCCTTGGAATGTGAATTTTCTTTCTTTTCTTTTTTTAAATTTTATTTGTTTATGTGTATGGGTGTTTTGTCTACATGTATGTTTGTGCACTGTGAAGAGGCCAGAGAAGGTGTCAGATGTCCTAAAACTAGAGTGACAGACAATTGTGAACTGCTATGTGGGTGCTAGAAATTGAACCTGGGTCCCCTGGAAAAGCAGCCCACAGAGCCATCTCTCCAGCCTGAAATGCACATTTTAAATACACTCCTGAGTCTGAGAATCTCAGTTACATGGTAGAGAACTTCACTTGGTTTCATAACCTCTGCCCACACGTGGCATGTCCCTGAACTCTGTTGAAAATGCCAGAAGTGTTGCTCACTTCAGATTTATCTACTGTGCAAGGAAGTGGCTGTGCGTTTCTGTTTAAAGAATAGTTTTTGTTTGAGTGTATTTTTTTAAATGCTCTAAGGAAGGGAAAAAGAAGAGCAAGTCCTTGAGGAAAAAGAATCGCATCTCCAGGCCCTGGGAGGATGGACATGTCAGTGTGGCAGAGGTTTGCAGAACCACCGCAGTCTGCCCATACCCATGTGGATTTGGAGTTGGGTGGAGAGGGCAGTCGAGGAGATTGCCAAAATAAGTAGGCTTCTCCTTCCTGGGGAGATGCTCCAGGGATTGGCTTAGACCTAGTGACCTTTGTTCCTCAAGGAGAAATGAAGAAGGAAGGGAAGTTTGGAGGTGAGGCTGCCCTGGGAGGCATCTGGAGCAGGTAGCATTTGGATCCTTCCATCTGAAAAACCAGCCAAAAGCCGCTGGACTGGAGCAGTGATGAGTGGATCAGCAAAACACAGCTCCCCTCCTGGAGCTGCAGCTGGCTTCACAGTGGTTGGGCCTGGAAAGCCAAAGAAGTTGGAGACATTTCCTTTGGCGCCTTGCAAAGGAGGCCAGGGTTTAGGGGCCTGCTACAACAGCCTCGGAGGCGATGTGAAATGCTGAGTGTCTCTATGGTGTTCCTTGAGAGGTTATTCCGTGTCTAATCAATAATCTTCATCAAGTGATCCAAGTACTCGAACCTATTTGGTTTGAGCAACCAAGTGGTTGGTACTTAAATTGTAGGTTTTACCCTTTGGTAGAAAGAGATTTTTGCCCCTGTGCCTGGCTTGGCAAAGGAGACTGTATTTCCAAATAGAAGCTTTAAAATTAGCATGTCTTTACCAGGTGAGTTCATGCTAAGTTGAAATGCATGCTGGAGCTCTTGAAAAAAATGAAAATATTCACTTGCACTAGCTGTGGTATGTTGAGAACTGGTATTGGCGCTAACATGCACATCAAATATTTTCTTCCCAGCGGGCGGACAGAATACCAGGCGACACACGGCTCCAGATTGCGAAGAACCAGCACCTTTGAGAGGAAGCCTAGCAAACGTTACCCGTCCCGGCGACATTCCACATTCAAAGGTTATACGGTGTTCCTTCCTTGCGGACGTGTTGCAGTAGTGCTTGGTGGGTCGGTTGTCTAGGGGAGGAGTTACTGCCGGTACCCTCCGGTGTTGGAAAGCTGTTGGAAAAGAATGTCCCGAGTCTTGGTGGACCTCGCCCTCCAGCTGTAATCTTTCTCCCACCCAGTGTGCTCCTCTGCCTCTCCTTGTCTGTCTTCCTTCGACTGTGCCTCTCCACCTCCTTTAGGCCTGGATCCTCAACAGTCTCACCCTTGTCCATAGAAGGTACTGCGTCCATTGTCTCCACTACCTTGCCATTCCTGGTGGGGACATCGGGCGCATGCTCACCAGAGTTGTGGCCACAGAAGAATGGATGCAGAACCTGCAGAGATGTAGTTCAGGTCCCCCGTGGTCAGTCCCCCGTCCCTGAATACAGCTGCACCCTGTGGCGCTGCTCCCCTGCTCAGAGTTCCCTGACCCTTGTGTCTATTACGGCTCCCACCCGTGTGAGGCCTGAGACCAGGATGTGCCAGGCAGTACATGAGCACTCAATTCTACTTAAGCTGGGTTTCGTAATCGTAGCTTGAAGCCCTGTGTAGCTCACTTTTCCACACGGATTGCTCCTCCTTCAGGCACACTCCAGTTAGCACTGAATTGTTGGTCCTTTTTCACAGCAGGGTCGCGGCACCCAGCCTCTGCCACCCTCCTAAACTTGGTATTCTGTACATTTTTCTTGCATAGCCTGGGATTTAATGGGCCTCTGTGGAAACCTGCTTATATACTTGCGTCTTCTAGAATCTTCATCCTTTGTCTCCCTCTACCCTGCTTCCTAATATTATGAGTCAGTAGCACAGTATAAGGACAGACGACAGGTCTTAAGTCATTCTCAGCTGCTTTAGTGGAGAAAAAAAGCCAAGAGCCCCCAAAATAACGGCCTTAACTTTAAGAGAGACCAGGCAGCCAGGCTGTGGTGGCGCACACCTTTAATCCCGGCACTTGGGAGGCAGAAGCAGTCAGATCTGCTTTGTGAGTTGTAGGCCAGTTGGTCTACAGAGTGAGTTCTAGAACAGCCAGGGGTAGTACACAGAGAAACCCTGTCTTGAAAAAAAACCAAACCAAACTAACAAAAATCACAAACAAGGGAGGTGGGTGGAGGGAAGGAGAGGAAACAGGGAGGGGAGGCTGCAGACGGGATGTAAAATAAATGAAAATTTTTCATTAATGAAAAAGAAAAGAAAAATTCACAAGCAAAAAGAGAGGCCGGGGACTGGGAACATGTTCAAAGAGAAGGTGATACCTGATGAAGGGTGACTGCGGGGAAGCATTGGGCAGGTCTAAGGGAGCAGCAGGGGGCGAGAACTCAAGCAGGACCATTGTCTCCGTTAGCAGAACCACACTTGCGTGATCAGAAGTTCAGTGTGACCCTCAGCTGCATAGCATTTGAGGCCGGCCAGAGCAATATAAAACTCTGCCCCCCTCAAAAGAAGAAAAGTGTGTAGGGCAAGTTAGGGATATAGCTCATTGGTAGCAAGGCTATGGGTTCAATTGCCAGCATCACACAAAAAGAAAAGAAGTGTAGTTGAATAAATGTCTTTTTTATGCAGGCTCTGCCTCTGCCCCATCAAAAGTGCCTGCTCCAAGTTCTTCCCTAGATGTTGCTGGTATTTCATCCTTCATCATGTTATATTGCTTTTCCGTCTCTACCCAGGACCCCCAGCTCCTCGGGTGCAAGGACCACCCCGTGGTTGCCTCCTGGTGCTTTGTGGGCATACCAGCACACCCAGCCCTGGGAGCCTGCTTCTAGAGTTGTCTAGAGAACTAGGGAGGAACAGCGCATATTAGCGGGAGGGCTCAAGTCCTCAGGAAAGACTAGCCAGAGTTCAGGGCTGCCTGGTTTGAGATGAGGGCTGTGCCCTGATAGAGTGGTCTCTGCCCAGTCATTCTCCCGGTGTTATTGTGTAGCGAATGTTTTCAAGTTCTGCATAACTTCCCATCCTTTCTTTACAGCAAGCAACCCTGTGATTGCTGCTCAGCTCTGGTAAGTACCCCCAGACTCCCCAGCACACCTCTCCCCTCTAATCACCACATGTGTTAGCAGTGTTGACTTTCTCCTTAATACAATTAAATCCAAGTGACTCACCTGATAACTTTTTTTTTTTTTTCCTTTTTCTGCTGCCTGGCTACACCATTCTCCCAGCTTTCAAAAAGCATACAACAGAATGTTCCGAGGCTTTCTTGTTGCAAAACAGCTGTTTTGTTTGAGTAGCATAGTGCTTTGTTTGTTGTCACCGTGGTAAGGCGGCAGCCAGGCATGCGTGCGGCACGTGCAGTAATCGTGCGGCAGGCCAGGGTGGGGACCGAAGGCCCCGCTGCTGAGCAAAGGTTCCCAGCAACAGGTGCCGCCTTGTCCAGTGACCTGCAGGTGCTAGGAGACATGAAACACCTCCGGAGGGCTAGAGAGGTGGCTCCGTGGGTAAAGGCACTTGCTGTGCAAGCCGTGAGACCCGTATAAAGGTAGAGAGAGAGAGCTGGCTCCACAGAACTGCCCTCTGACCTGACCTCCACACGCACACCGTGGCATACACACACATCATGCACACAGACATATGATGACAATAAAAGCAAGCCAACAAATAAATAAGCCACCTCTAAGAGTTTCTGCAGGATAGTAACTGTGTCACAAGACTGAAAACCTCCCGTATGGGACTTTGCAAGCTTCTCATCGCGGGGCAGATTGGAAATATTTTGAATTCTGGGCTGTGACATGTCTTTCAGAACTATTCAGTGCTGCTGTAGCAACACTGAAGCAGCTGTCGACAATATGCAAACGGATGAGCATGGCTGTGATTCAGTAAAACTTCATTCATAAGTACCAGTCAGGCACATTTGGCCCTTGGGTAGAATTAGCTGCCTCTTCCCTAGCGTGACCCTGCCCCTGTGTCTGGAATTCCCTGATAAGCTATGAAACATCCCCCTTGGGCAGGACAGCCTTGGGCCATATGAATACTTATACACATGTGGGGACGTGGGCATTTGTCCTTCAAAGCTTCCCTGGTAAGGTTCGCGCGGCCCCTAGGGGAGAGCCACTGCTGTACCTATTCCCTGCCTTCTCTTCCCTATCTGGAACCAGTCCTCTTCCTCTGTAAGCGTGACATGCTAGGAGCAGCTGCCATGTGAGAGAAGAGCTGATAGATCATTGGTTCTGAACTGCAGGCTGAGGCCTCAAGTCTGATAGGGCAAAGGTGGTGGTGGCTGTTGAGATGGGTACACACGGCCTGTGCTGTGTACTCTCATCCTGGCAGACAGGGCATGAGATCAGGGTCATCACTGCCCTGGCTAGCCTCCAGAGCTCCACCCGAGGCCTCAGGAGCCCTCTCCATAACAGCTTTTTCCAATACATGCTGGGGCCTCTGGCCTTCTACCCGCTTTGCTTCCATTTTTTCTCATTTGCAGGCAAGGAGCTTGGACTAGGTCTGTGTTCTCCCCAGTTTTTTTTTTTTTTTTAGCTTGTGATTTTTACCCTCTACCACCATCCCCAAGAAGCCTGACTTAAAAAGCAAACAAAACAGACAAGCAAACAAAACAGACTTGTGGGTAGGGAAGGACTAAGGCCCACCTGTTCATTGGCTTCCTCCCCACTTCAGGAAGCACTGAGATCCCCTTCAAGGAACCTCAGGTTCTGGAGAGCTAAGTTAGCATAGCCTCAGGTTCCAGGGTGTGTTTGCAGACAGGCTGGCCTGGCCATGCTGTCTGCCTTCTGCATCTGATGAAGGGGTGGGAGAATCCTCCTGAATGCTGCCCATAGCCCCCTGTGGTGGGGGGGTGGGGGGTGATACAGTGTTCTCAGGTCTGCAGGTGTGCCCTCTGCCTCGGGGTCTCTGGCAGTTAGGGTCTGAGCAGGCAGCATGCTGAAAACTGCTGAGGGTTTTCAGCCTGACAGGTCCTGTTTTGAATTCTCAGGAGATTGTAAGCTACAGTATTTCTTGCTTTCTTAGGAGGTGATTATTTTGTTTGTTTGTATTTCCCTGATAAAGTGACATTTCCCTCTTAGAATCTAGGGGAGATTATACACGGGGAATGGAAACAAACCTAAAAAACAATCGCCACACACACACTCAAGTGTCAGTAAATATACCCTGTAGGAACAAATGAGTTAATAACCGCTGTTCACAGCTGTTCAATTGCTCTTCCCAGCCTGTGGGATCCTGGGTGAGTAGAATTGCTGTGGGGACCGTGGATGAAGTTGTGCTGGGAACCTCAAAGGTACTGCTGGAAAAAGAGCACCTTGTGGAGCACTTTACCCACCTGCTGAGCCAGCCCAAGCTCTGGCGTCGAGCCTGGCTTCGCTGCCAGGCTGGCTTCGCTGCCAGTCCTCTCTGAAAACTGAATGCAGACCCAGTGTAAGACTCAGAACAAAGATGCCCCCCTCCTCTCTTAGAGATGCAATAAACCTTGATTCCAGGCACCCTAGCAACAGTGGCTGCCCAGTGATTGTTCTGGGCTTGGGAGGTTTCCAGTAGGTACTGAGCTCGCATCTTATGCAACAAACGTTCTCTCTCTCTCTCTCTCTCTCTCTCTCTCTCTCTCTCTCTCTCTCCCTCTCTCTCCCTCCCTCTCCCTCCCTCCCTCCCTCCCTCCCTCCCTCCCTCCCTCCCTCTCTCCTTCTCTCCCCTCTTCTCTTCCTGTGTGTGTTTGTGTATGTATATACATATATACACTATATATGTATATACATTCATATATTTCACACACTTATTTATGCATGCATATGTGTTTATATATTTGCCAAACCAGTTCTAACTAAGATTCTAGTCAAATTAGACCCCACTTGAACTCTGAACTTTTCCACAGACCCTCCAAGAGCCCGCTAGATTTGGTGGAAAGAAAATAGGGTTTGGGTCTGAGCAGATGTTGAATCAGCCCTGGCTCAGCCATTGACCGACCAGTGATTCTTAGTAGGGTTCCTAACTCTCTGTGAAGCCACTGCCCCTTTGGCTGTGGGTTGAGGTGGTAGGAAATGCCATGAACTTCGTCACCCCGATAAGTAGATGAGTGACAGGGCAGAGGCTTGACATGAATTAACATTTCCCACCAGTGCCCAGATCAGCTGCAGTGTCATTGTGGGCCAGGGGCTCATGTGGGATTCCTCACAGTGGCTGTGGTAGGTGTCTCGGAGAAGCTGGTACCTCTCCCTTCAGCTGCCAGAGGCTCTGTGCCATCACTAGAGGGCTAGCCTCCAGGGCAATGCCAGGGAGGGCCTGCGCTGGAAGGAAACCCACAATGTCACAGCTGCACTTTGGCGTATTCCTGGGGTGTTTATGCTGGTGAGCCTTAAGCTGGTGAGTGGAAGTCGCTGTTTGTGGTTTCCTGAATTATCTATGTTCATGTAAGTTCTAGGAACCAGAAAAGAAGTGGTGTGCAGACGTTCCTAATGGAGTAGGGAGTCTGTGGGATTAGTTATGGCTGTTAAATAGATCTATCATAATGCCTCCTTACAACTGGTAAAACGATGTTTTTCTTTTTCTTTTTAGCTCCAAAGCAAATCCTGAAGTCCATAATTACCAGGTGAGATGCTGTGTTTGAGATGTTTCTGAAAGTTTCTGAATTCTGTGCAACGAGCAATATGTAGGAACAACATATGCTTGTTAGGTTTTGGTTCACTCTTCGTGTTTCCCAGAAAACTCAGAGACAGATCCTCCTGCCCTGACCCCTGTTCCCTCCTAGTCGTCTGAAGTGCCTGGTTTAACCTTGTTAACTTGCAAGTGCCAGGGACATGTAGTTATGTTTCTGGTTGGTCAGGCCCAGCCTCTCAGCAGCATTCGAGTGCATGCCTTTGTGAAAGCATTTTGTGAGCCTAGCAAAGGCAAGCCCTTGAGACAGGCTTCCAGAAGGGAAGATTCTGCCTCTTCTTCATGTGTCTTCCTGGGCCTGACTGTGCCTGCTGAGGTGCCAAAAGACTGAGGAAACTTGCAGGAAGGACATTTGGCTTGTTGTTGTTGTTGTTTTGAGACAGTCTGGCTCTGGCTGTCCTGGAACTCACTTGTGTAGAGCAGTAAGTTCTAGTCTTTAACTCACAGAGATCCTCTTGCCTCTGCCTCTCATGGGTTGGGATCAAGGGCCTGCGCCACCACACCCAGCAGGTGTTTTTTGTTTTGCTTTGTTCTGATTGGTCCTTCCCCCCACCCCTTTTCATGGCAAACCTCCTCAGACCAGTGGAGGCTTCATTTACTTCTAGAACCCATGTGTCAAACAGCAGACCTGTTGCATTCGGGTTCCATGTCCAGTGGTATGTCATTTCACAGCAGTGCCGAACCGGAGCCCATGCCTCCTGCCTGCCCACCTGCTACAGCCAAAGCCCTCTCGGTAGCCCAGCCTGTAGTGAGCCAGCCCCTCCACAGCTGCTGTGGGCGGCCCTCTCTAGGCTTCCAGAGCCTGTCCTGACTTCTTACGTCCCTTCCCACGGTTCCTGTCACAAGGCTGTGTTGAGCTAGCTCCCAGCAGCGGCAGAGTGCTTGCCTTTAGGTTCTTGCTGGTGCTGCCTTGTCCATGCTCATGTGCCTGGAGTCCTTTGCAAACTCTTACCTGCTTGCTACAGTAGGCTCCACCTTCGTACTCAGCAGTCCCCGCCTCCTTTTGTCTTGTAAGTCGGAAGCTCCCCCCTCCAGTAGGGATTCAGCCCTGCACCTTAAAACCATGTGGCCAACATTAAAAGAATAAGCAGCAGTCTCCTCCCTTAAGAGTTGAGCAGAAACTTGAGGAGGAGGAGGAGGAACTTGGCATCCATCCATAGACTTCAGAGATCCTAAGGTGGTGCTAATGAACAGACGCGTGGGGACTCTGGGAGGCTGGTGTGGGCCTTGCTTCCCAGGTGGTCCTTTGTTTCTGCTTAAAGGCCCAGAGACCCATGTCTGAGGACTTCTAACTTGGAGCCCTATACTAGTCTTTCTTTTTCTTCTGCTGCTGTGACAAAATACCCAGCGCTGTGTACTTTATAAAGTAAAATAAGCTCATTTAATGCATGGCCTTGAAGGTTCAGAGGTACAGTACTGGTGAAGGTTCAGAAGTACAGTACTGGCTTCCACTCAGCTCTGGTGAGGGATTTGTGGCATAGGAGCAGGACAATGTACATGGAGGGAGAGGTTGCCTGGTGAGATGGGGCCAGGGCAAGGGGTGGGGCTGTACTGCTCTTCTCAGGAGAACTAGCCAGGGTCCCTCTCTGAAGACCCCCAAAGGCCTCCTCACCTCCCACAGCGTCATATTGTTGACCACCCTTGTCCTGGGCCAGTGCCTGAAGCAGGAGGTCCTCCCAGCGTCTGCCCTGATGGGTGGCTGTGAGTGTCACAAGTGACATTGCTGTTCCATAAACAATTTCAGTGGGAACCTTGTCCTCTTCCCTGGTCTTTCGCTGTTGTAGATACCATTTCTGCAGATGTCCAAGATGCCCGTGTTCGGTATCCTTAGGAGGTTCCCAGGTGGTTTCTGAAGAACTCCTGTGCAGGAAGTCACACTCCTAGCGGGCGGAGTGAGGAACCGGGGCTTTTGGGTAGAAGGGACTCTGAACCCAGTAGAAGGAAAATCATTTCCCCTGTCATCTTCCCTAGGGTCCTGGGCTTCTTATTCACACACTGCTTTTTGTTTAGGGATGTCAGGTGCAACTGGAGTGTTGTAGGGAAGGAAAAGAGCTGGTGTTGGCCAACCAGTGCTTGGAGGAGAGAGAATGAGAGTGGAGGAAGTCAGGCAGCCCGCCTGCCGGGACCCCTGCCCTCTCCTGCCCTCCATGACTCCTGACCTCTCCTGCCTGCCGGGACCGCTGCCCTCTCCTGCCCTCCATGACTCCTGACCTCTCCCGCCTGCCGGGACCCCTGCCCTCTCCTGCCCTCCATGACTCCTGACCTCTCCTGCCTGCCGGGACCCCTGTCCTCTCCTGCCCTCTCCTGCCCTCCATGACTCCTGCCCTCTCCTGCCTGCCGGGACCCCTGTCCTCTCCTGCCCTCTCCTGCCCTCCATGACTCCTGACCTCTCCTGCCTGCCGGGACCCCTGCCCTGCCCTCTCCTGCTTGCCATGACCCCTGTCCTCTCCTGCCCTTCGGGACCCCTGCCCTCTCCTGCCTGCTGTGACCCCTGCCCTCTTCTGCTTCCTGGGTGCCTTCTGTTTACAGTGAACCAGGGCTGTGCTTGTTCACAGCAGATGTCCTGGCACTCTGGGCATGGATCTCTCCACACTGCCGCTGGGAGCCCCTTGTGCTCGGCCAGTCTTAGCGGCCCTGTGTTGCCCCATCCAAGTTTGGATGTTAAGTGGACTGGAAGAGGGGGGCCGATGAGTGGCCCGATCACATCATGGTGCTGTGAAGGATTGTCGGGAAGGTGACATGGCGGCATTAGCTCATTCTGCAGCGTCAGCCAGCTGCAGAGGATGGATGGCCGTGTTCTCCATGAGGACACTTGTCATTTGAGGTGGGGCAGTTCTTCATTGTCCCTGGAATGCCAGTAAATTTGGCTCCCCTTTTCCCTGTTATTGTGGCAAGCAAAGAGATCCATATGTATTCCTCATTGTTGACAGAGCACCCGAGTTAACATTAAAGTACTTGAGAGTGTAGAATATGAATGAATTACCAGAGAAGATATACCAAGGAAGGTTCTGGAATTTTTCAAGTCTGTGGATGAGGTTTCTACCCCTTTGGTGAATCTGGGCGTATTTAGAAACAAAAGACTAGAGGGTCCAGTTGTGGGGCGGTCGTTCTCTTTTGTGGAGACTGCACCTCGTCAGCGGGCATACCCTCCCACACACTGATCCCTACAGGTTCTGCCCCCCACACTGTGTCCCCTGGGGGTGCAGCCTCGGCTTGCTGACAGGAGCTTTGAAGAAGGAAAGAAAGACTACTGGAATACAGAATAGGCTGCGTGAGGGCATCTCGGGGCCATGAAAATTGGATGAACAGAATCGCCGAGAGTTTCTGTAACAGAAAGCAGTCCACTGCTTAGTAACCACAGCAGCAGGGGTCAGGAGGAGGAAGGGAAGAAATAATTAGAAGATTAATAGTGGTGCGATTGCAGTGACCTTCGGGGGCGGGGTGCACATTTGCCTCATAGCTAGTTTAGCCTTGAGAAGCCCCGTGGCTTCTGGCAGTGTCCGGGGCTGCTGCCCTCTGCAGGTGAGAAGTGGAATGGCAGCTGGCTACCCTGCCAGGCTCATCCGGGCTTCACACTGGTCTACTTTCTTATCTTCCCACCTTCCTTCCTTCAGTCCATCTGTGCGTCTCTCCAGTCTCTCCGGAACAATAGGTCTTCCTGATGATATTCCGGCTTATACACCCACAACGCTGTTGCTTTCATTTACCCTGTTCTTCCGGCCCTTGTCTGCATGCCAGGGTAACTCAGCTGTTACGCACGCCTGCCGTCATTTCAGAACCAACAAAAGTGGCTTCTGAACAGAGAAGCCACTCACCCCATCTTCCTGGCACTTGCTTCCTTGAGAGAGAGGTGTTGTCTGACCAGGGCATGTTGGGTAGCCCTCCTTTGAGTCAGATGTGGCACCTTGCCTCCCAGCCCCTGCTTTGGAGATGGGATTGGGTGAGCCAGACACTAGGTTCCAACCCCCCAATCCCCAGCCTTTGTTAGTGGGAGAAACAAGATCATCTGGGAAAGATCCAGCCGCCCCTGCCCCCAGGGCTTGGTTACAGCTTTCCCATTCATGGCCCCCTGGACTCCCGAGGTGGGTGCCATCGCAAGAGAAAGCAAATGACATGGCAGCCATTGAAATCCAAAGGTCACTGAGTAATCCAGTTTGGTGTTTCCTTTCCAGCCTCAGTACCATCCGAACGTCCACCCCAGCCAGCCCCGGTGGCGTCCGCACTCTCCAAATGTCAGGTGAGTTGGTGAGCTTGTGGAGCCCTGCTTTGGGGAGTTCTCCTGTCCCCTCAAGTCCCCACTCTAGGCTGCAGGATAAACCGTGCAGTGGGGCATGACCAGGGCAGAAACCTATGCTTTTCAAAGCAAAGGAAGCAAGTGACCAGTCTTTGCGAAATAACAGATTTAAAACAAACAAAAAAAAAATTATTCTGACCGCAAATATTTTGGTTTGGTTTTTATATCAGAGATGTTGCTTAAGGTTTCCAAGTTAATATTTTCTTATTCTGAGAATTTATTTTTATTTTCTTGGAATGTAATTAAAGCTTGGAGATTAGGGTTCCCTTTTTTTTTTTTTAAAGGGTTTTTACCCCTTAGGAATGAGGGCACTGTTTGCTTTGGTGGCTGGGGGCCTTTTTTCTCCTACTTGGGGGTTATTAGACTTTTTCAGCAAAGGAGAGTCTCTGTTTTCAGCTTTGTGGTCATTGTCGGAAGACAACAAGCAGTGAGGACTGGCATAAGAATCCCTGACCGTATTCCAGTGAAACTTAATTTACAAAATAAGTGGGGTTTTGTCCCGATGGCTGTCAGTGTCTCCTGCCACTGCCCTTGAGTGACCTGGCGCCTGCTGTTTGGAGTCAGGGCGACCCCTGGGAAGCAGCCATGTCCTTAAGACTTGCATTTTTGACGAGTCTTAATTGGCATTTTTGTGTCCGGCTTTTTCAAAAGAATAGTTGGTGAATTCAGGTTGACCAAGGTGGAGCTGTGGGCCTCGCTCCTTGAGGGAGCCTGGAGAATTGGGTGGTAGAAGGCAATGTGCCTTGAGCAAGTTAGGTAAACGTTTATGGGGCCCTTGTAACACAGCAGTGCAGTCTGACATTATTAACACTTTGGTATTCATGTGGCATTTTAGGGCAAGTCGGGTCAGTGATAATTCTAAAGCTTCGCAACATCCAAATGTAGTTTATTTTTCAGACGTGACAAGTAGGTGAGGCTTAGACTATCATCCTGTTAACAGTGCTTTAAGCAGACGTCCTATCTAGTATTGCCTATTTTGTCAGTGTTTTCCCTCTGTAGCGTGCCCTAGCCGCCTCTTCACCCAGGGGCAACACTTTCCCTCAGAGGTGGCCCTGCTGATGCTTCATTGTCCCCTGAGAACCACTGCTCTCCCCATCCCAGAGCTGTAGCTGAACCCAGGTGGCACCCAGCACTCTGTGTGTTCTCGAGCTCTCCAGAGGTGCATCCCAAGGAAAGTTGATGGCTCCACTCTTGTGGCAGATGCAATCCAAAACCATCACCATGCACATCTGGTTTATGGAAGCTGTCCCCTCAGCTAGCTCTCCTCGGACTGCCCTGACCACCACACACCCCTTGCAAAACCCTGACTTGTCCAGAAACAGAGCTTTTCTCCACTTTGATCTTTGGGCGATGATCACATGGGAGTTTTTAAAATCCTGAAGTCACCAGGCCACTCAGGTGCCAGGCACCCCACTCGCTCTCCCCCCCCCCCACCCCCCATTCCCTTTGGTGTGCGTGGTTGGCCTCACTCCGTTCTGAATTGTCTTCCATTCTCCCAGTAACCATTCCATCTGCAAACAAAACAGGCCATCTTATCTGGATGACAGGCCGCACTGGAAAGCCTCAGCCAGTGGAGATGACGGCCACTTTGACTATGTCCACGACCAGAACCAGAGGAACTTAGGAGGGACCTACAGTGTCACATACCGGGACAAACTCATGACTGCCCTTTGAGAAACTGAAGCGCCTTACTTCCTGTCACCACCATGGTGTCTTTGCATTCCATGAGACGCATCCTGACGTCACACGGGCGTCCTTGCACGAGTGTTGTTAAGTAGCGCGTTTAGTGTCCGAGTCAACATTTGAAGAGAACCGCCCTAGGTAGCCGTGATTTGCTGTGGACTGCATTCTCAATCAAATGAAGGTAGCTAAAGGCTCAGGAATCATTTTGATATTCTGATTTTAAAACTGAAGTGAAAGTCCCTATCATCATGCGGTGTACCTGATAATCTTGTGATTTAACCAGGGGGACCACATACAGCAAACCAACAAACCAAAAGCTTGGGGGATTAGCTGGACCCATGGTACTGTTGTAGGTTTGGAGATTGCCAGGGCCCAGCCTCCGTTGCTGTGTGACCTTGGCTAGGTCATTCCCCTTTCAGTGGTTTCATTTCCTCCCTGAAAATAATGGGCTGGACTCAGTGATCTCCAGAGTCCTTTCTGTTCTGTGATTTATTAAGATTTCATTTCTCATCTGGGCTGAAAACATGCATTCAGACCAACTCCCCATAAAGACAAATGTAATACCCCTTCTGTAACAACAGAAGCTTGATGAAGATTATGAAACTCATTAGATATGACATCAGTACAGGGAGACTTGGAATTTTGCATCTTTAAGTGGGTTAGCGAGTATGGATTTAGGCCTCCATGCTAATCACCAGCTGCATAGCATGTTTTACTAGAATTTACTTCTCAAATGTAAGAATGATTTGCAATTTGCCTTAATGATTGGTGCTGCTAACCCGTGTGATTTCCGAAGACATCACTGTGACTACTGTCAGGGTTGAGGCTGGATTTCACGTGAGATGTTACGTCTTTGAAAAGCAGCATGCAGTCGAGATGAAGTGAGGGAGTGCACGGGAGAGTCTTCCCGCTTTCTGGAGGTTGTGCCAAAGCAGCCTGTCGCACAGAGGGATGCACGTGGCCCCTTCTTTCTGTCGAACCCCAGAACAACATGCTGTCTTTTAGGGTGAAGCTTGTACCAAAATATTTATTGACCCCATTTCAAGTGGTGCACCAAACCTCTTTTTCTCTTGCTAGGCAATCCCAGGGTGTGCTTTCCTTTGTGGTTTTGTGCAGTCAGTTAATTTCGTGTCACTTCGATAGATGTGATTATAATTTGGTCCCCTTTAAACCCTTGGACATGTGTTAACATCCTTCCTTGCTAAAATCTGGCCTTTTTGGTTCTGTAGAAGTCTCTTGAGCAGGGAATCCTCTGCACACTTGCACAGGGGAGGAGACGGCCTACTTATCAACTCCCCCGCAGATGCTTGTTTACGGGTGTGTTCTGACCCCCAGGGTATGTACTGCATCTGAATAAACGTGTTCTGGTCTCTTCATCTTAACTGCGAACATTTTTACAGTGTGTCTCCACGTAAAGAATAAAGATTATTCTTACTTTTTCCTTTTTTTTGGACTCCATCTTCATTTCATTGATTCTTCTGCCAAGAAGCCTCCCTTGGATCTCACTCATGGTACAGTTGACTCCCGGTGTCCGAAGGTGAACCTTCAGTTCCGTGGGATGGGACGGGACCATCCAACACTGAGGCTCTTCCTGGCGCGTGGCTGAGGTGTTTCTTCATCTGGGGCGACTCTGGCAGAGGTTGTAACACCTGGCCCCAGGTGGAAGCAGGGTGTTCCCTGATAACAGTCCCATAGCGATGGACACATGCCCTTATGGTAACTTACCTCTTCCTGGCTGTGTCTGTGGCCTCTTAAAGATGATTCGGGACCCCCCAGTAAAAGCCTTTCTGCTTAAGCTAATGAGCAGATGAAGTTATCTGCTTCCACAGTCTGCCTGTGAAGTGAAGTGGGCCTTTACCCCACGTGGTGACTCCGTTCTTGCAACCTCATCTTCCTGGTCCCCCCGGACATTGGGGTCTCTCAGGGGTCTCTTCTCTGCTCGCTCCTTTTCTCACTGAACCAGTCTGGAATCGCTGCCCCATTCTGTCCTGTTTTATAGTGCTGTTGACTCTGAAAGCCATTATCTTTAACTCATACTCTCTCTATGAGTTTCTGTATTGTCACTTCAGCATGGATGTCTGTCCCACGTGGAGTCCAAACTCCACGTGACGGAAATCAAATTTATCGTTGACCGTCTCTCCTGGAATGCACACCTTTCTTCCCCCGTCCAGTTCTCTTGGGCTGAGTGAGAATGCCACAGCTCTTCTCTCTCTTGCCGCCCATGTCCAGGCAGTCCACAGTTCTACTGAATTCTGCCTCCTTCACGGTTCTCCCCAGCACACTGTCTTACAGGAATGTCTTCCCCCTTGCCAGGGGTGCCCGCTTTGGTTTCCACAAGCCTCGCCAAGCTTACTCTTGTCTCTCTGCAGCCATATCTGACTGTGTGTCATTCCAGTGCTGGCCGCTCTGCCTCTGTCTCTCTGCTCCAGCATGTTCCATCCAGACCCCTTCCCTTTCCGAGCAAACAGTAATACCAACCTGCACGCGCCATGCCTCATGACTGTGCCTTCGCAAATGCTGTTCCTTCCGCCTAGATTTCTGTCACTCCCAACTCCCGCTTAGCCTCTAAGCCTCCGCCCAGACGTCATCTTCTCCAGGGACTCTCTTGACGGCCCCCACCTCTGCAAATTGGGTTAATTTCTGTGTTCTGTGTTCTACTACTGCCTCCCCCTTCCACCCCCAGATCCGGGAACATTGTACTCACAACTTTCTATTAACACGGCTTCTTTTGTTCGTCTCCTCTCGGAGCCTTAGACTCCTCAATACGAGCTGTGCCTTTGTTCCCTGGTGCCTGACAGATAGCAAATGCTCACTGGATGTCTGCTCAGAGAATGGATTCATCCCAAAGGGAATTTCTAACCAGGTAGCAGGCAATGATGCATCATCCCTGGTCTGGTCTGAAGGGTTCTGATGTACACCATCCAGTCTGGAGCATCACATTTTGAGGAGGACGTGGACCAGCGTGTCGTTTGTAGACTCAGCTTTATCATGTGGACACTATTCAGTGTGTCTCATTTGAAGCATTGGTGTGGTGTTGACCAGGGCAGAGGACCCACTGGACATCTGACATTGAAAACCCCATTAGGTGGGGAGTGATCTATTGTCATACGGAGGGGTTAATGGCCGATTTCGTCCTCCGCATGTGTCACGTCATTTTATCATCCCGGTCACTCTGCAAGGTGGGTAATATCGTGCTAATAGGGAAGCTCAGGACTGGGGTTCTGTCAAGCAGTGCCTACATGTCATACAGCAGGTAAGTGGCAGCCTCTGGGCTCTCATGACTCAGCCCCCTGTCATCACCCTGTTGATCCACATCCCAGCGAGACTGTTAGACCAGAGGGCAGTTCACTATGTTGAAGTCTAACTGCTGCCTAGAGAGCTGCCCTCCTCTGCCAACAACCTAGTAACACCGTCTACCTTCTCCACCATCCCTACCGTCAGTGGGCGAGTATCTGTCCGCACCCATCAGAGACTAGGAACCCCATTCATAACAGGACCGTCATAACAGCATGCACCCCCTACTTGTCTAGTAACCCTCTCCACGCCTCATCCCACTGGGGTCCAGCAGCCCACACTACTACTGCACTCAGCTCATCCGTTCTCCGTTTTCAAAGGAACAGAGATGGAGTGTTATTTCTAATGAGGCATCGCTGTGTGAGATGTTCCACATGTTTCTTCCCAGTAATTCGTGGTTTTTTTTTTTTTTTTTTTTTGGACCATCAGGTGCCAGCAATATCAAGCCCACTTTTCCACAACTAATTAACGTTTTCTAGTTTTGGAATTCACAAGCTTAACCTTACGCCTCTCTCGTCCTTTCGGGTTTGGTGTCAGTGTATGGTGTGGCTCGTGGTAGTTACCCATCTTGGAAGTCTGCTAGGGGTTACATGCATCCAGAACCATCTTGCTTCATTGCTCAGCCATTCCCACAGAACTGGGCTCTCTTTAGCAGCAAAGACGGAATCAGGACAGTGCTGGGGTCCCTTCTGACTCTCTTGCCTGTTAAAACCGTCCACCATCCTTCCAGGTCGGTGACTCCAGCCTCCTGGGTCCAGCTTGGGACACAACAAATAACAGCCTTTTTGGTGCACTTGACTTTGCAGCTTTTACCTAGTCCTTTAAAATCCGAGTTCATCAAAGAACTCTCTGGACAGCCATATTGATCTTTTCTAGTTCAATATTTCTCAAACCGGGCTCGACGTCAATTCTCTGACTGGCCAACTTTCTCAAGTGCTCCAGGTAAATACCACAAATTGGCCCAGGGCGACTGATTTCTGCCTCTCCCACCAGGAGGCCATGGGCAAACAGGAGCCAGGCCTGGGGGTTGCGGGTCGGAGAAAAGCCAATTGCTGTAAAGGAAAACTGGCACATTTTAAGAAGCCCCTGGGGTACCTAAAAGGCAAACAGAGTCGAAACTGGTACTCAGCTGAGCCTAGGCAAAAGAAATCAATAATTCTGGAAATAGGTCCACTTCTCTCCAAATTAGAAACCAAATGATAGCTCAGACAATTTATTTAAAAACGTTGAGCTTTGGGCCTGGAGAGATGGCTCAGCAGTTAAGAGTTCTTGCTGCTTTTTCAGAGGACCCAGATTTGGTTCCTAGCACCCACATTGAGCAGCTCACAACTACATCTAACACCAGCTACAAAGGGTCCAGCACCCCTCTTCTATCTTTCATGGGCATCTGCATACACATGGCGCACAATAAGACTAAAACAAGCTCACTTCTTTTAAAATGATGGTTGCTGGTGAGACTTCAGGACTTTTTAAAATTTAAGCCAGTTCTTCTGCATAGCCTGACTGTCCTGGAACTCTATGTAGACCAGGCTGGCCTCAAACTTAGAGAGATCTGCCTGCCTCTGCCTCCTGTGTGCTGGGATTAAAGTCACGTGCCACTACACCGGGCTTAGGACTTACATTTTAACCATCAATGGATGGGGGTGAGCAGGGGTGAGAGCTTCTCTTAGTTAATGACATTTCTTGGTTTAATGATTTGATTTTAACTTTCACTGGTGGCAGTGGAAGTGTGTATAATTTAAGTAGACAGGAGGCTAAAATGTAAACGGATGGCCCCCCGAGATGTGTGTTGGTAGTAGAGCCCTTGTCCAGTATGAACAAGGCTCTGGCTTGAATCCTTAGCACTGAACCCTCCATCTGCCTAGTTAATGCTCTTTTCCGCTTCTGAATACATGGGGAGGCAAGAAGTTGGATTCTAATTGCTTCTTATGTGGCCCGAATTTCACCGTCCCCTCCCTTGGTCTGTCAGGCCATTTGCTGACCATTGTTCTGCACTCCTCCAGAGACAGTGCTAGTGAAGTCCATCCATGAGACAAGGTGAGCCACATGACCACACCTGGCTAAGGACCTGCTTCACAGTGAGAGCCCGTTCATGGGGACGGGTGCAAGACTGCAGAAGCTTGAGGACAGACATTTCAAGCCAGATGAGAGACAGACTAGAGGCCCACAATGTGGCCTTCTGGTGGTTCTGGGGGAAGAGACTCACGGGTCTCTGGTGAGATGAAATGTGGGAACTTTGAGTCTCACATACTTTGAACTGCTCAGCTTTGCCACTAGCCATGTGACCCTTGCCAGTTTTCCCAACTGGTTTCATTTTCTTCATTCCAAAAAGAAACGAAGCAGTGTCTTGCTATTAAGGAGCTCAGGGCTGGGGAGACGGCTCAGTCAGTAAAGTGCTTGTTGCATGAACAAGAAGACCTGAGTTGGGATCCCTGGCATCCCGACAGGTTCATGGTCTGGAGAATGATCTGTGAGAGCTGTGCTTTGGGTTTCCCACGAGTGAGTTTATTAAGCATGTAGCACGCAAAAAGTAAAAGAATAACAAGTGATAGATAGGTAGGAACAGCAGATAGAGGGCAACATAGGAACTCTGATGCTACAAACATCCAGCAGAAACTGATCAGAGAAGCCTCATGGAGGCAGCCAGCTGTAGTTCCCAATAGAGAGTCTCTTCCAGTGAGGCTTCCAGGGAGGAGAACAAATAACAGCAGAAAAATAACATCATCACATCAAGGGTTTGCAAACATCCCGTGCACACCAACTGGGGAAGCCCCTCAGGCAGCCAGCTGGGGGTCCCAGTCGAGAGAGACCGTCCCTGGCAAGTGTCACTTTCAGATTGAGGTAACATCAAATAGACGCTTGGGGAAGTTGGAGTGACTGCTGGAGCTTTCCCTGGGTGAGCTTGCTACTGCAGAACTCCTGGCTTTTCTTTTCCCACTGCAGGCATCTTTTAGATCATGGGACCGAGAATAGTAACATCTTTTGGAAGTGATTTGCCTTCTAGCATTTCTCAAGGACACCGTGTTTTTACTCTTGGGATGTTTTGTGGTTCTCTTTCTTCCCTGTTACAGAGTCAGGAGAGGTACAGCCCATTCCCAGACAAGGTGCCTGAGAAGACAAACATACTCAGGTCTGGAATGGTGGGGGGCAA